TTATAAGAAGTTCATTGGGAGCACGGTGACATTTCTAGTATTGTATGTTGACGACATACTACTAATTGAGAATGATTTACTGAACTTGTAGACGGTAAAGACTTGGTTATCCAAGTGCTTCCTCATGAAAGACTTAGGAGATATAGCCTACATCCTTGGTATCAAGATCTATCAGGATACATCACGTAGGTTGCTTGGCCTAAGTCAGAGTACGTACATCGACAAGGTACTAAAGAGATTCAGTATGGAAGAATCCAAGAAATGATTTCTTCTTATGTCACATGGTGCTTATCTGTCAAAGGACATGTGTCCTAAAACACCTAAAGAGAGAGACAAGATGAATAGGATTCCATATGTGTGCGCCATTGGATCCATAATGCATGTCATGTTATACACTCGAATTGATGTCTCGTATGCATTAAGAATTTGTAGAAGATGTCAACCGAATCCAAGTAAGTGTCATTAGATAACAATCAAGAATATTCTTAAGTACTTGAAAAGGACTAAGTATATGTTCTTGGTTTATAGAGGAGAAGATGAATTCACTGTAAAAGGATACAATGATGCTAGTTTTTAAACTGACAGAGATGATTATCGATCGCAATCAGCGTTTGTCTTTTGTCTCTAGAGCTGTAGTGAGTTGAAAAAGCTAAAAATAGAGTATTGTAGTTGATTCTACAATGGAGGCTAAGTACATTGCATTATCAGATGTAGCCAAAGAGGCAGTTTGGATCAAGAAGTTCATTATTGAACTTGGTATGGTTCCCAGCATTGTTGAACTAATAGAATTATTATGTGGCAAGAATGGAGCCATTGCTTAGGCAAAAGAACCATAGTCTCATCAAAGATCCAAACATATACGCAGACGATTCCACCTGATCAGAGAAACCGTTCAGAGAAGAGATGTGCAAACAAGTAGAGTACCTACAGGTGACAACATAGCAGACTCGCTTATGAAAGCTCTGTCGTAGTAGAAGCATGATAAACATTTAGCTTCATTTGGTATTAAATACATGAATGATTGGCTATAGTGCAAGTGAGAGATTGTTAGAGTAGGTGCACAAGAGCCAATCACATTTTGTATATTGACTCTGCTATCTAAATCAATCCAAGGTAAACTGCTCTTATTATATTTATCAGTCTCATTGCATGTTATCAGTAAAACCTTGGTCTGCGAAGAAGGAATGATCTAATGGCTGGTCTACTATGTGAGCAAGCATCTACTCGACGCAGAGATGAATTACCCTGAGATAGAGAAGCTGGTGTTAGCTCTCCTAAACGCTTCTCAAAAGTTGGAACCTTACTTCCAAGCTCATATGATCTTGATCTTGACAAACTACCCACTATGCAAGATCTTTCAGAAGTCAGAGTCTTCGGGAAGGTTGATCCAATAGGCCATGGAGTTAAGCCACTTCGACCTCAAGTATACTCCACGAACAACAATCAAAAGGCAAGCACTAACAAATTTCATCTCAGAATTCTCCTACCAACCCAAGGAGAAGATAATTCCGCAAGATTCGCCAGTAAAAAAGACACTCCACCAATCGAGCAAAAACTGAAAGATCTAGTCACTTAGAGCCTGCATGTTGACGGCTCATCAAATGAGAAAGGCTCGAGCGTAGGGCTGTTACTCATTAGCCTGGACAGGGGTCAAACTCTAGCTGTAATAAAGTTTTGATTCCCCACCTTGAACAATGAAGTCGAGTATAAAGTGTTAGAGTAGGTGCCCTAGAGCCAATCAATTATTATAGAATTGACTCTTTGTAATAATGTTCATTGATTAATAAAAAGACATTTTATTCTATATCGCGTAAATCATATTGTATGTATTGATATATGTCCTCAGAATGGTAGAACCGTGACGAGGGTATCAAGTGTTTCAAATTTAATAGTGAGAACCCTATGAGCGCCCTTCTAGATACATCCATAACCCCAGTATTATTCTGAAGTAAGGGCATAGATAATACAGTAAGACTATCATAGTGTTGAACAACCATGTCGAAAGGTAATGACTAATCTCACTTGTCAAGGTTGTTTGGTGACAACTTAATGTAACACATGGGTGCTTGCTGTAGGTAAGTTCACTGGACTGACCTACTACAGGATTCCATATGGATGGTAACCCTAGTGTCTATGGAACAAATCCTCTAACGAATGGTGGTGCATGTGATCCTTAGACTTGAGATCATCGGAGCGCCTTGTGCACCGATTGGTGTAGTTTGACACTAGCCCAACGCAGTTCTATTCAGAGTTGTCAATACGATAGTGATTGGCTGCATCAAGGAGTGTATCAAGACTATGGTGGATCGACAGAGGATTCATCTACTGGATACGGGAAAAGTTATCTCACGGCGCAATTCTATAAATGACAATGACACTAAAACTGTGGCCACAGTGGGATTGAGTTGTTACGCAATCCAGTTTATTATTATTCCGGTCATTGGTCTAGTAACTGAATACATACATATCGAGAGTAACTGAGGTTGACACTGTTTGTGTGCCTCGGTCTCGATGAGATAACAGATGATGAAAGGATTGAATTGTATAGTAACCATATCGTTGATAGGTAGCTACTTCGCTGAATCCAAGTCTATCGGGTGGCCATGATGCCTTGCTTGATGCCAATCTTTGTCTGTGTATAATGAGACGATTAATTGGTGTTAATCGCGATCCTACACACTGCCAGTATGATGAGGAGCCTACAGGTCACACACATAGAAGATAATTTAAGAATCAGTTTGTGTAAAGGGTGTTTTCGTCTTTTTAGGCAAAAAGGTATTTTGGTAATCTCACAGTGCAATTAAATTTACTGAGGTTATTGCCTTTATTTAATTTGATATTAAAATTAAATAACTGAAATTATATTTAAATATGTGTACGCATATATTTAAATGGATTATTGTTATTGTTAAATGTTAATATATTTTATATATATTAATTGAATTTAATTGAAATAATAATAATAAAAATAAAAATATCTAAATGGAGTTGTTTGGACATAGGGGCTGTTTGGGTTGGTGCCTAAGCCTATTCCTAAATGGAATAGGGTTTCACATGCACTATATAAGTGCATGTGTTATATGAATTAATAACACTTTTCATTTAAGTCATTTTGATATCATATTCATTGAAAAAGCTCTAGCCCACTCTCTACCGCACGCACTTTACTTTGTATGAATCAAATTCATTTGATTCTTGTTCTTGATTCTTAAGGCTAAAGAGGATCTAGCAAATCCCTCTTTAGCTCTTCAGGTTATCTTCGTGTGGACTATCGTTGGTTTGATTCTGTTTTGAATCGGTAGCGAACCTGGTCAGAGACAACGTTGAAGGAGCCTCTAAACTTGCATCTGAACTCTAATCTTTACTGTGATCATTCAAATATTTGATTTAACATAATATCTGTAATATCTGTATCCTGATCTTGGCTTAAAATGGAATCAATCGTTGTTTTATATTTTGTTTTCCGCTGCCATGGGTTTAGATCGTTTCCTAACATGAAGTTGTGCTCGTCGATATACGATTAGCCAAAGAAATGAGAGCGGAGTTGATCGATATCTTTAGCAACTCCCAACTCATGGTGCACCAAATCCTCAGCGAATACCAAGCAAAGGGAAAAAGAATGGTACCCTACTTGCAGAAGGTAATGGACAAGCTTGAGGCCTTCAAGCGATATTCAGTCCAACAGATCCCCCAAGAGCAAAACTCTGTGGCTAATGCCCTAGCTTGCTTGGCCTTGACAATAAACAACAGAGAAGACTCCATCCCCTTCAAATTCCTGTCATCCCCTAGCATCAACACATCAAACCAAACGGTAATGACGATCAAGCAGGAAGCTTCGTAGATGGATCCTATCATAGCTTACTTAAGAGACGTGATCTAGCCTGAAGATAGATCGGAGGTCAGGACCCTTCGTGCCAAGTCAGCTTGCTACACTTTGATCAACGACAAATTATATAAGCGAGGATACAACACCCCCCTACTGCAATGTGTAAATGGAAACTTTGTAGATTACATTTTGAAGGAGATCTGTGAGGGCATATTTGAAAACCATGTCGGGAGCAACAACGTTGGACTTCTGAAACCCTATAGGACTTTAAACTGCAACGTTGGTACAAAGCCAACTATATGACTCTACAAAGCAAAGAACCTCTATAATGCCTAAATTTCCCAAGGGCTAAATTGTAATTATCTATATTCAATATTACTTGCACCCTAAGCAAGTGATCCAAGGGAAATTTTCCTAAAAGAAGTAGAATCATGGTTTAAAGTGGAATCTAGGAAGATTAAGGAAGTTAAGTCATAATAGCGAATTTAATATAGTTGGAATAGTTCCAAAAAAGAATTAGATCCCCAATTATCCTGAAGACTCACTCTCCTCATCCTACCCGATTTCCTACTCCACCAAGGGAGTATTCTCGTAAAACTTTCTATACTTCACTATATAAAAGAGGCTAATGGCATGGAATGATTACCATTATTCATACTGGAGAAGCCTCACACTTGAGCATTCCAATTGAAGCATGATCACAGCCTTAGTAGCCTCACATCTCTTTTCTAATCCTGCGCTCTTGCAGGAACCTTATTAGTGTTGGAGGGAGCAGCGTGGCAGATCGGGACGACACCAAGGAAGCAAATCCTAGGGCAGAGTGGGAAAGTAAACGTGGTCCGAAGGGCAATACTGTACTTTCGTGTTTGGTACAAATTTTGGCATAAATGTAAAATAATTTTTTTGAGTTATTTAAATAAATTTGTATCATATAACCTCGGTGATATTGTTTTAACCACTATTAACCTTTTTTATGTGCTTTAGATTTTATATATATATATATATATATATATTGGGAAAAGAAAATAGTGTAAAATACAAAGCAGAAGCAACTGCAAAAGATTAGGAAACAACAACAATGATAGATAAATTTAAAAAATAGAAATGCTAAGAAGTGGTGGAGGGATCGTGATCGGTCACATAATTAAGATAAGATAGTAATTTTTTTACAATATGATGCATTGACTTTAAATCTTCCATGTAAACGTTCAAAATTTGCAATCCTTATCTCCACTCCGCACCATCACATAAACGATCAAATTAAAATCATTCCACATACACAGTTTCCATAAAACCATCTCCATTCCAGAGAGATGGATGATCTAAAGCCACGCCCTGCAAATTCATCCCCTCTAACCCCCCTTGATTTCTTAGAAAGAGCAGCCACTGTTTACGGTGATTGCCCCTCTATCATTTACAGCAACACCACCTACACGTGGTCGCAAACCTACCGTCGATGTCTCCAGTTGGCTTCTTCTCTCTCATCCTACGGCATCTCCCCAGGCCACGTCGTCTCTGTTGTGGCCGCCAACATCCCTTCCATGTACGAGGTCCACTTTGCTGTACCCTTTACCGGTGCTATCCTTAATAACGTCAACACGCGCCTGGACGCGCGCACAGTCTCCATACTTCTGCAGCACAGCGAATCAAAGCTCGTTTTGGTGGATCATCAGTTCAGTTCTCTTGTTCTTGAAGCCATCTCTTTGTTCCCATCCAATAGCAATCCTCCTCGTTTGATCCTCATCACTGATGATGATTACGCATCATCCCCGACCGTTGATTCTAATTTCTGTTGCACTTACGAGGGCCTCGTGGAGAAAGGTGACCCGAATTTCAAGTGGGTCAGGCCACAAAGTGAGTGGGATCCGATGATATTAAACTATACATCAGGTACAACCTCGGCTCCTAAAGGTGTAGTCCACTGCCACCGTGGGATCTTTACGATCACCGTTGGATCTTTGATTGATTGGTCAGTACCCAAACAACCCGTCTACCTGTGGACCCTACCTATGTTTCACGCTAACGGATGGAGTTACCCGTGGGGCATGGCCGCCGTTGGTGGGACCAATATCTGCCTTCGAAAATTCGATGCTTCTATAATCTACGCTATGATTAAAAGACACGGTGTCACTCATATGTGTGGTGCCCCTGTGGTGCTCAACATGCTCTCCAATATTCCTAATAAAGAACCCCTTAAAAACCCGGTTCATATTCTCACCGCTGGAGCACCACCACCTGCGACGATTCTCTCGAGGTCCGAGTCGCTGGGTTTTATAGTGAGTCACGGCTACGGTTTAACAGAAACCGCGGGACTTGTCGTGTCATGTGCGTGGAAACATCAATGGAATGTGTTGCCGGCGACGGAGAGGGCACAGTTAAAATCGAGACAAGGAGTGAAAATCGTGGGTTTTAGTGAGATTGATGTGGTGAATAGCGAGTCTGGAGAGAGTGTGAAGCGCGACGGGTTATCGCTGGGTGAAATTGTTTTGAGAGGAGGGTGCGTTATGCTCGGTTATTTAAAAGATCCAGTCGGCAGCGGCAAGTGCATGAGTGATGATGGATGGTTTTACACAGGTGATGTTGGGGTGATGCATGCTGATGGGTATATAGAAATTAAAGATAGATCAAAGGATGTTATAATAAGCGGTGGAGAGAATTTGAGCAGCGTGGAGGTGGAGTCTGTGCTGTACATGAACCCAGCCGTTAATGAGGCGGCTGTTGTGGCGAGACCTGATGAGTATTGGGGTGAGACACCGTGTGCTTTTATAAGCTTGAAGGCTGAGTTGAAGAAAAGGCCGAGTGAGAAGGAGATAATGGAGTTTTGCAGGGCAAGGTTGCCGCACTATATGGTGCCCAAAACGGTGGTGTTCAAGGATGAATTGCCTAAAACTTCAACTGGGAAAATAAAGAAGTTTATGCTGAGAGAGATAGCAAAGGCAATGGGGTCTTCCAGAGTCAGTCGAATGTAATTAATTAGTTGATTGTGTATGCTTGATTTTGAACCAACGACTCGCACGTGCAAAGTGTTAAGCAGCTCTTAGAAGTTACACGTGAATGATTGTAAATGATCTAATACAAAGATTGAATAATAAATGAAAGACGATTTTTAAAGTGGTTCGGATACTTAAAGTGGATCCTACATCCACTGTTATCTTATATATGAGAGATTATAAGAGGTCGCGTATAGCGAACAGTGAGCACAGATACAATGATTGATTATTTAGACAGAATATCAAGTCAGTCTCTTTTTTGTAGGTTATTTTTGCTTTGAAAGTTAACGATTACAATCAGAATGAAAGTTTTTTAATCAGAATCCTGAAAATAAGAGGGAGAGTCCTCTATTTATAGTAGGGGAAATCAAAGGCAATAATTACAAATCTGCAAGTGGGTAAATGTCGTGCAAGTCATTCTTTGCCTCCCATTGACTGATAACTTAGGATATTTTCTCAAGTTACCTGGGGCTTGGACAAGTGTACAGCTCTCATTCACTTAAACAAAACATGAATCTGCCAAGTTGGTGACAACCGTATTCTCTTTGTCTTAGGGTGACGTGGCAGCTCTTAGACAGCACAAAATCTTCCTAAACTCTGATTGGAGTTAGCTGATGTAGGCTTACATTAGCCTGATAAATTAGGCATAACAGATTGAATAGTGATAAAATTGAAATCAAGTATTGTTCTTGGCATTTAACAACTTTAACGTGGCAAGCTTAGTTTATTGCATGGAAACAATCGTGTTGTTTTTAAAAATGATTTTGAAAATAAAAATAAGAAATTTTATTTAAAATATGGAAATATGTTAATTATCTTTTTAAAACCATAACTAGGACTGTAAATGAGCCGATCTGAGTCTTGTTGAGTTTTTGACTTATTGAGCTCTTCTCGGTTGCTACAGGATCGAGCTCAAGTTCAAGCTTGAGCTTGTCGAGTCAAAGTAAATAGAAATCAACTAAGTTAATCAATTTTAAGTTTCTCAATTCACACATGTTAATTTATGAATGAGGGTAAATTTATATAAAACTATATTTGTTAAGTATATAATTATTTATATTATTTTAATATCCATAATTATTTTAGATATTAAATAAAAATTACTCATAAACATTTAAGTATAAAAACCCAAAAGTACTATATTTAAATCAATTTTTTTATTTATTTTTGTTCGGTATAAAGTAGCAAAAAATTTAAAAAATATATTAAAAATTATATGGAAATAATATATATATATATATGGGGTTTGGAATTTGGTTGAGAAGATTTTGATGATGATGATGATGATCTACGAAATGGAGCGGCTGTTGTTGTGGGAGTTTGTTTTCTATAAATAACTGAATTTCAAGACATGAAACCAAGGTTTTAAAACCCGACCCGGCCAATTCAACCGGTTGAACCGGTGACCAAGCCGAGTTGGTTCAATTAAAAAACCGCTAATTGAAGTTAACCCAGTTTGAACTGGATTTTCTGTGATGAACTGCCGATCCAACCGGTTTTGGCACAAAGTCGGGTTAACTTCATTCCTAAAAAAAAAAAAAAAAACATTTAAACCCTATTCCCATTTCAATTTCATTCGACAAATCAACATATCATTGTGGCTTCGGCTTCTTCAAACTTCAATCTCCGGCTGCTTCTTCTTCAATATCCAATCTTCGAGCCTTCGACATCTTTTGATCTTCAATGTTAGGCTTCGGCGACAACTTCTTCTTCTTCTTCAATCTGCGATTTTCGACAGCTCCAAAGAGGTTTGTGTTTCTTTTGCTTAGTTTTATTTTTACTTTTTACTAACATTATTATCATTGTTCTTGTTGGCTTGTTGCATGGGAATAGATAGAGATGGAGGGTTGAAGTTTTGATTTTGAAGAAATGGGTTTTGGTCCTTCTGGGTTTGAAATTGTTTGCTGTGAGAATGGGGCTTCAATGAATTTGGTTGTGTTTTGTTTTTGTTGCATGGGAGGGACGGGAGTCGATAGAGATGAAGGCTTGATATTTAAGAAGAAGTGGGTTTAGGGTTTGAGATTGTTTGCTGCGAGAATGGGCTTGATAGTAAATGTTAGGGCCAAAAATCGTCCTTGGCCCAAATAGGAAAACAGGACCAACAGTGAAGATGAGACCAGGCCCAATCCCCAAGAGGCCCAAGCTAGATTAGTCCCAGTTGATACGCGAGATACGACCTTCCCAAACCATCTAGGCACGGGCTTCCCAGTTCCAGTTCACTTCCTAGGCCTATAGGCGAGTCCAGAGCCCATGGCCCCTACTGATCACTTTCCTGTTCCTGATCAATCTCCTATTCGAAGCCACTTTCCTGTTCCTGATCACTTTTCTACTCAAAGTGGCTTTCCTGTTCAGATCACCTTCCTATTTAGACGTTGGTAAGACAACTTACCACGGCCCAAATTCTTCTAAGGTGTACATCAGAGTCACACTAGGACTCCTACTCCCACCAGGATTGGGAGATCGGATAGTCACTATATAAACAGAGGCCAGCCCTCTCACAAGGCACATTACATTACACCTTCACACCTGAAGCTCCTATTTGAGAGCTTCACATCACTGCCGTAGTCACAGTCTTCGACTAGACTTCCGGTAACCTCTCTACTCCCTAGCCCTTACTATACTAGCCTCTTTCAGCCTTACTGACTTGAGCATCGGAGTGCCTACGGTAAACGATCAGACCCCCCTTTCGTATAGGTAGATTTTTACGTCTACAGTTTGGCGCCCACCGTGGGGCCTCTAGCAATCATTCAGCTTGACAAACCTTGCTACGTAGAGGAACTTTCCATGGCTGACAACTTCGACAATGCTAATCCCAGCCTCGAGGCCAAACTGGAGGCTCTGACCGCTCTCATGCAACAAAACTCGGACAAGGTAGCCACACTAGAAGCCGAGAACGATGCAATTCGAACAGAAAACGCATCCATCAGGGCAGAAAACTAGTCTCTTAAGGAGAAGGTGAGTCAATTCTATGATCTAGAGTTTCTACCTGGCCAGGCACCCCCCCCCCCCCCAGTCGGTTCCGTGCCCCTGTTCCATCCATGCAACCCCTCCACACACCAAAGCACCGACCCTCGGTCTCCGGCAAAAGGTCATGTCCATTAAACTCATCGGCAGTCGACGATTCTGTCCTAACACATGGAAATAAGGATACGCCAACAGAACACCATTCAGCCGACCCATCCCAACCTCAAGATCAAGACCATCCAGTGACAGAAAACCCGAACCCGCAAGACCAACCCATTCTTGTCGTCCCACCTTGCCTCCAATCAACCTTCCCAACACAAACCCCATTCGGGTCGGCTCACCCTCACGGGTTGAACGGCCAAACCCAACAAACCACAGCACTCGAGCCCATCCATCCTGACGGACCGAGTGACTACTAGACGACTCCATTAACCATTCATGTAGGGTGAAACACTAGAACTGTTACCATGGGAGTCATCCAACCAGAAGGAATGAACGAAGATCCAGGCTACCAGGGTGTGCATGAAGCAATGAATCAACAAATCATACCACGCGAGACGATCCAATGGAATGTGCTGAAGACAATTGCAAAGGTTGATGCGGTCAAATGGGATGACCTAGTGGCGTCCCCTTCTCCTATGGAACAGGTACTAGCCAAGAGATTGGCCGATGTCGAAGCAGTGATGAGACGTATCCCAGGAATGCCGGTCCCAACCAAGAAGAGCAGGCCCCACTGTTACACGGATTCACCCTTTGTGGATGAGATCGCCCTAGCCGACATGCCTCATAAGTTCACCATCCCCAACATGAAACTGTACGACGGCACAACCGACCCGGACGATCACATAGCCTCGTACAAGCAATGGATGTTCATCGTCTCAATACCCCGACCGCTGAGAGAAGCCTGCATGTGCAAAAGTTTTGGTTCGACCTTATCCGGCCCGACACTCCAATGGTACACGAATCTCCTGAACGGATCTATCGACTCATTCGCCCAACTCACCGACATCTTTGTGGAACAGTTCGCCAGCAGCAAGAAACTTGAGAAGCTGTCGGCCGATTTATATAGAGTATACCAGAGAAAGGGTGAGCCACTGAGAGAGTATGTCAGCAGGTTCAACAAAGAGAAGATCTCCATCCCTGCATGTAATCCTGAGACAACCGTGGATGCCTTCAGGAAGGGTCTCCTCCTGGATGGAGAACTATACAAAGAGCTTACAAAGCTGGGTTGCACCATAATGGAAGACGCCTTGGCCTAGGCAGTGATCTAGATAAGATGGGAAGAGGATGAGATAAATCAGATGGTTCACTCCAGATACGATTCAAGGCAGAATGACAGGAAGCTAGAGCACAGGCCAGCGGAGCACCGCTACCAACCCCAGCACGTAATTTGAGCAAAATCAGGAAACCGTACGTTCGCCAGCCAGCAAGAACTGAGAGCAGACAGTTTGGATCGAATCGGTACAAAATACCGGAATACAACCTCAATGTCGAACCAACCCAGGTCGTCGTGATTATGAAGGGAGTGGGATCCACTGTTAAGTGGCCAGACAAGCTCAATCCCGAGGCAAGGAGAGGCAAGACCAAATGGTGCGAGTTCCACGGCGATCATGGGCACAACACCGCAGACTGCATCGCCTTGCGACTAGAGGTCGCTGCACTTCTAAAGAGGGGGCATCTTCGGGATCTGCTAACCGATAAGGGGAAAAACACCATTAGCCATAAAAGTTCAAAAGAACCATCACCACATCCGCAAGAACCTACACCAAAAGGATTCTGTTCGCTCATCTAAGGAGGATCAGAGATCAGTGGGGTAAGTTACTCATCAGCCAAGCGATATGCCAGAGCCAACCACCACTATGAAGTCCAGTCCAGTCCAGTCCATCCATCCGGTCTCACGGTCACACACCCATCAAGTAATTCAATTTGAAGATGACGAGCCGGTCACCTTGGCCGCTCCTCATCACGATGCTCTAGTCGTCTCCCTACAGATCGCCAACATCCTAGTGAAAAGAGTATTCGTAGATGGAGGCTCTTTAGCAAACATCCTATTCCTCAAAGCAGTGAAGGCTATAGGACTGGAAGAGGCAAATATCAACATGCGGTCGACGCTCCTAGTTGGTTTCAACTCTGAGCAGAAGTATACTATCGGGGAGATCATCCTCCCTATCTACGCCGGCGGAGTGAACAAACAGACCGTTTTTCTGGTAATCGACTGCCCCTCACCATACAACGTCATCTTGGGCTGACCTTGGATCCATGACATGTGAGCAGTCCCATCTAACTTCCACCAGACGATCAGGTTTCCAACCAAGGTGGGGGTACGAGAGATCAAGGGCGACCCCAAAACTTCCAGAGATTGCTACAAGAATGCCTTCAAAGGCAAGGGTAACTCTTCATAGCAATTATAGTCTTATCCAACCCACCAACCGAGCCGGATCAACCATCTATGGAAGAGTTAGATGAAGTACAGATACATCCGGATGACCCCGAGAGAAAGACACACATAGGGTCCCGCCTCAAGCCCGAGACAAGAGAGAAGCTGACAGAATTCCTCAAACAGAACCAAGATTGTTTCGCCTGGTCCCACGCCGACATGACCGGAGTCCGTCAGGAAGCAATGGTCCACCAGCTCAAGGTAGACCCAGATCACCCACCAATGAAACAGAAGAGAAGGAAATTCGCATCAGAGCGTAACCAAATTGTCAACGAAGAGGTCGAGGAGCTCTTGAGTAATGGTATGATCAAAGAGGTCCACTACCCCGAATGGTTGGTGAATGTCGTGGTCGTAAAGAAAAAGAATGGGAAATGGAGAGTGTGCATCGACTTCACGGACTTGAACAAAGCCTGCCCCAAGGATTCCTTCCCACTCCCACATATCGACATGATGGTCGATGCGACTGCAGGTCACAAGCTTCTTAGTTTCATGGATGCTTTCTCAGGGTACAACCAGATCTTGATGCACCTGGACGACCAAGAGAAGACAACCTTCATCACGGAAAGGGGAACCTATTGCTATAAGGTAATGCCATTCGGCCTGAAGAACGCCAGGGCCACCTACCAGCGGCTAGTCAATAAGATGTTTGCCGAGTACCTTGGAGACACCATGGAGGTATACATCGACGACATGCTCGTCAAGTCATTGATAGCCGAATAGCACCTCGACCACCTCAGCCAGGCATTCGCCATCCTCAGGAAGTACAACATGAAGCTAAATCCAGCCAAGTGCTCATTCGGGGTCTCGTCAGGCAAGTTCTTGGGCTATATGGTGACTCAACAAAGGATAGAAGCCAACCCAGACCAAATCAGAGCAATCCTTAGTATACCGTCTCCAACTTGCCTCAAAGACTTCCATCGCCTTGCAGGACGGATAGTCGCCTTGAGTCGCTTCATTTCCAGGTCAGCTGACAAGTGCCATCTCTTCTTCCATGCTCTCAAGAAGTCTAAGAAGTGAGAGTGGACCGCCTCCTGCGAAGAAGCCTTGCAATAGCTAAAGGGGTACCTGACCTCCCCTCCGCTCCTTTCCAAACCTATGGACAAGGAGAAGCTCTACTCTTACCTAGCGATCTCAAAGACAGCCATCTCGGAAATACTAGTTCGGGAAGAAGAAACGAAGCAGTTGCCGATCTATTATGTAAGCAAGTCACTCTTTGATGTGGAAACACGGTACAGTCAGCTGGAAAAATTAGCCATCGCCCTCATCCATGCATCCAAGAAGCTCAGGCTATACTTTCAGTGCCACTCAATAGTTGTACTCACCTCCTTCGCACTCAAGAAGATACTACATAAACCAGAGCTATCAGGTTGACTCCTGTAATGGACAGTAGAGCTTAGTGAGTTCGACATATCATACCAGTCTCGTACCGCCATCAAGTCTCAAGCTTTAGCTGACTTCATTGTTGATTTCACCCCGAATACCACCACCCAAGCAGAAAGTGAATTGTTATGCATGAACGGCGGATCGCCCTCCAAGTGGACTCTCTTAGTGGACGGCTTGAGTAACGTAAATGGAAGCGGACTTGGAGTGGTACTGATTACGCCAGAAGGAGACATCATCCCGCGGGCAATACGGTGTGGGTTCAAGTGCGCGAACAACGAAGCTGAATATGAGGCCCTCATAGCTGGACTTTCCTTAGCCAAAGAAATTGGAGAAAAGAAACTAGGGGTGAAGTCTGATTCCCAGCTCGTGGTCAATCAACTGCAAGACACGTATCAAATATGCGACTCGAAGATGACATCCTACTTGAGCATGGTCAAGGAGCTACAGGCCCAATTCGATGAGTTCTCCATCGTCCAAATCCCCAAAGCGGAGAACTCCCATGCTAATGCCCTTGCCAATCTTGGCTCAGCCCTCAAATGCTCTTCCCAATCATCCATCCCTCTGTTATTCATGCAGTGGCCCGCCAATTGGAAGGGACGACAACCAAACAAGTCGCCCGAGGAAGCCATGGGTGTTGAACTAGCTGATTGCTGGATGACTCTGATAGTGAGATACTTAACACGACGAACTCCCAGCTGACAAGAACGAGGCACGATGACTAAAAGCAAGAACCGCTAGATTCACCATACATGAGGGCCAACTCCTTAGAAAATCATTCTCGGGCCCCTACCTCAAGTGCATAAGCCTAGAAGAGGCCCAACGTGTCCTTGCCGAGCTATATGAAGGCGAATGTGGAAACCATGCTGGGGGACGCAGCCTTGCACACCGGGTAATCACTGCTGGATATTACTAGCCGACCATACGCACCGATTCGGCCGCTTATGTGAAGAAGTGTGACAGTTGTCAAAGGTTTGCTCATGTCTCACACCTCCCACCAGAGCGACTCCATTCCATCCTCATACCCTGGCCCTTTATGAAGTGGGGAATGAACATCATGGGAAAATTATCGACTGCACCCGGACAGTGAGTCTTCATGTTAGTTGTGATAGACTACTTTACGAAGTGGATTGAAGCCGAAGCCTTCGCACAAGTCAGAGACCGAGAGGTAAAAGCTTTCATCTGGAAGAATGTCATCTACAGGTTCGGGATACCGAAGGAGATCATCACCGACAATGGATCCCAGTTCATCAGTTCAAGCTTCAGGGATTTCTATGACATGTGGGGAATAAAACTGAGCTTCTCGACCCCCCGCAGCCCCCAGTCTAACGGCTAGGCTGAGTCGTCAAACAAGACCATCATTAAGACACTAAAGAAGCAGTTATAGAAAGCCAAGGGTGCATGGGCAGATGAGCTACTCGGAGTCCTCTGGTCATACTGAACCACGGCTCGCTCGTCAACGGGCGAGACCCCCTTCTCCCTCACATACGGTTCTACAGCAGTCATCCCAGCCGTAGTATCAGTCCCGTCCACTAGGCTCCAATGGGCGGACGAAGAATCAAACGAACAAAACCTTTGCCAGAACTTGGACACCATCGACGAGCTACGCGAACGGGCGAACATTCATAACGCAGTCTATTAGCAACAGGCTGCCTGACATTACAACCGCAACGTGAGGATCCAGACTTTCAAGATATGCGAATGGGTCCTCCGCAGGGTCTTCAAAAACACCAAAGAGATTAACTCTGGCAAACTCGGCCCCACCTATGAAAACCCCAACAAGATAACCAAAGAAGCAGGGAAGGGTGCTTACAAACTCCAGACCCTCGAGGGCAAAGACATCAGTAACAGTTGGAATGCCGTTCACTTGAGACACTACTACTTCTAGGTGAACTTATCGTTTTCTGTTTTCCTTGTTTATTTTAAAAGGGATGAGTGGGCCTATCCACCTCCTCTTAGACAGTCGGCCTCATGGCCAAATATTAATGAAGTATTATTCAGAAATTTTTCATCTCCAAATCGACTCCGGTCGATCAATTATTGGTAACACCTTCAGATCGGCCATGCCCGATCCACGAAATCGCACCTTCGAATCGACCCTACTCGATTCATGATTACACCTTCAAATCGGCCCTGTCTGACCCACGATTTCGCCTCTTCGAATTGGTCCTACCCAATTTACCAATAACACCTTCGAATCGACCCTACTCGATTCATGATAACACCTTCAAATCAACCCAGCTCGATTCACAAAAACACCTTCGAATCGACCCCGCTCGGTTCATGAAAACACCTTTGAATCGACCCTGCTTGGTTCACGAAAACACCTTTGAATCGACCTCGCTCGGTTCACAAAAACATATTTGAATCGACCCTGCTTGGTTCATGAAAACACCTTCAAATCGACCCTGCTTGGTTCACAGAATCAACTTCGGTCGGCCTCGCCCGATCCACGAAGTGATGTCGTCAAATCGGCTCAGCCCGATCTATGATTCACACCTTCGAGTCGGACCTGTCCGACCCAAGAATTCACCCATCGGGATTGACTTCATCTAATCCAAGAGACTTCCTACTCGGTCGGCCAGACCGAGTGAATGGTTCTTACACCGACAATAAGCAAAGCACCGACCCAGCCCAACATAAGGCTTACATGCCTTAGCCACTAGGCCACACTAAAGTAACAAACACAACTTGGTGCATCTACAAGAAAAGAAACAATGAACAACTCATTCATCCATGAAGAAAGCATCAGAAGTTAGAACAACCGAGTATAATACAGATAGCCTCAAACGGCTCAGTTCAAAATACAAAAAAGGGCACACGCCAAGAAAAAGGGCATCGCAGGCCCCAAAATACAAGGAAAAACTAAGCTAACTATCCTCAGTACGAGTCACCTCCTCCATCTTTGACTCGGTCATCATGTTCGCACTGCCAGCACCCGTCCCAGCAGCCCGGTCGCTGGCATCCCCAACATCCAATGGCCCCAGCTGACTAGCAAGGTCAGGCATCTGTTCCTCGTCCTGCCCCCCAAGATGACTAACTCCCTCTTCCAGCAACCCTCGCGTGAGTTGGATGTCTTCGTCTGGATCCCAGTGAGAGGTCTTCTCTTCCTTGAACTCAAGCATGAGTTCACCACGGGCCTTGATGATAGTGTCATCAGCGATGGAAATACACTGCTCCCTAAGAGACTCGATCTCTGCGGTTTTCTCAGCCAACTCACGCCTCAACTTCTCCAACTCACGCTTGCTATCCCTCAGACGCTGCTAAAACTCTTGCTCAGCCTTTTGGGCTACTGCCTCTCTTTGGCGCAAGTTGGCATTGGCCTTGGATACATCCTGTATCCGTTTCTCCTGTACCACGACAGACTTCCTCAGATGAAGACTGCTAGTGAATACCTGTACAACAAAACATTGCCATCAGAACAAAATTCAGGAACAAAATCATCGAATACTACTGTCATACTTTAAAGGCGTGGGTTACCCTCCAATCAGCCACAGTAACTTCACCCATCTAGTTCAGACGCGCCTCGTCCACCGGGAATAAAAAAGAGTAAGCCAGCTTACTCATGGTAGTCGCATCAGAGTAAGTTGACGCATGAGCCGGAATCGTGAATGTAATCATCCCGACCTCCTTATCCATGACTGCGGTCTAGGACGACCCAACTCCAGCTGCAGGCGGCTGCTGACTCAGCGGTGTCACTAACACATCCTCTACTCTCCTATCCTCCCTGGCCAAGGACTCCCTCCTCATCTTCTCTCGATGTCAGGCGATGGATTCGCTCACACTCGGGAAGGTCAACTTCTTCATCAGTGATTCTGTAAGTGCAAACTCTCAAACGGTTAGTGGGTTCAGCCCGGACTCACAAAAAATGATATGGTTGCAGTATCGACTCAGCACATCCAAAGTCTGCTTCAGCGAGGGGAAGGCAGTACCTCTCTGGATCGCCTCTACTCCGGCCCAAAGAATGCTGGTCCTCAGGTTGGGCTCTGCTAGCACTACTCGCCAGTCCCTCTACTCTGACGGGATGGCTAACACTTTTTAGGTCGCAACGTCCAAGCCGTCTCTGCTTTGCCTAGCCCGATTGAACTCAAGCTCTGCAAACAAAAAACACAATCAAGATTTAGTAATCAAAAGTACAAAAGAAACAACTAAGTTCTCACCAGTAGCTCGCCAACCAATCAGGATCTCGCCCTGACCTCTCTCTCCAAAAACAACCTGACCCCCCACTCGGTCCTTCCAGTTCTTGTCACTAGACCGCAGGTCGGTGACCAGGTGAGACCGATCATGCCTCAAGTTTAACAGATACTGACCCTTCTCTTTATCATTCTCCTTCAAGAAGTACGAGTACAGTAGCTTGTGCAGCCCGAACCTCACTTTGTTCCGAACACAGAGGTCCTCCAAAGCCATCAGCAATCTCCAAGCATTCGACATAAGCTGAGATAGGGCAATCATGAAGTGGTTCAATACCTCCCAGATGAGGCGAGGGACGGGTAGCCTCAACCCATCATGAAACCACTTCTCGTAAACACTAACCCAACCTGGTGCCTCCTAGTCAACCCGTTCGTATGACCGTGGCATCCGAATATCAATCGAACTCAAAATATGGTACGAGGTTTGGATACGCCACATGTCACTTTCCTTGAGCACAGGCAGATAATCCCCGGTCAAGATCCCGCTGCCCTATTGACTTGGCTCTTCCTCAGAACTGCTATTGGAAGAAGACGGATTACCAGCTCCTTCAGAGTCTTCTCCACTTCTCCCATGCCTGCCCGAACCACTCAGGTTGGAAGTACTAGTACCTGGGGCAGGTAAACTAACTCCAATCGGTACCCCAATCGGAATGCCCCCTTCAAGCATCATCACTATGGTCGGGGCACGCTCATACTCATCCCCAGCGTTTACCACAATTTCACTCGAGCTAGCCGATTCAGTATCTGACATAGTGGCCCAATCGCCCCGCCTGACCGACCGATTCAGTCCTAGCTTCGAAGTTCCCAAAAAAAACTTAGTGTCAAAGAACCACTCACCCTCAGCAACCGACCGAATGAGGATACTACAACCAACTATCACTCGCCCCCCAACATCGGTCGACCAATCACCATCAACTACCTGCTGACTCTTGCAAGCCCAAGCTCTGATCGACCTCTGCAACCGACCGAACTATCCAACCGTCTCCCCTCGTTCGCCCCAGGCGATCGACTCACGTTCAAGCTCAACCCTTTGAGTCTATTCGCCCTTGCTCACCAACTCACCAGCTCAAACACCTATGCTGCCGAATCACCCACTCGGTCTCGACGATAGATCACCTTTTCAGTCAATTTTGAACGCCCCCTGAACACTCGGTCGGGTGGACCGAAGGACTTACCTACCAGTTCAACTACAATCCAACCTGCCACTCGATCCGGTCAGGTAGACCAACCGAGCCAAATCAAGGCCGCGCTTAAATCGTTTTGTCTTCTCACTTCCATCCAAAACACCCGGAAAACTCCAAAATAGCTATCCAAGTCATCGGAAAACCTCTAGGAATACCAAAATTCACGCCTATTCTAAAAACTTGTGTTCTAAACTCCTCAAAACCAGTCGAAACTACTCAGAAAATTCAAAGAACTTCACTCTAAATTCCAAAGACTCAGCAAACAACGAAAACAAACCAATATCGGTCCAAAGAAAAGGATGTTTACCGTAAAACGCTAGATTACAGA